TTTGCGCATTACGGGGATGCGCAACGTCAGCCCTTTCAGGTGCTGCGCCAAGTCTTTGCTGCCCCCTTTGATGCGCACGTTCGCCAGCATCGCCAACGTTTCCTCCGAATGTGGCACTCCGAGAGCATCCTGCAGCAACTTCAGCCGGCCCCCGTGGATCTCTTCGGCGTGCTGGGAAGCTTCGCGACAACATCTCTCGATGTCGTCCCAAGGCATGGAGAAGCTGAAGAGATTGCCCTTCACCTGCGTTCTGGCTTCAGACTTGCCGAGCGGCGCGTCGATGAGATTGCCATGCGGGGCCTCCAAGTAATACGCCAACATAGTACTCCAAACCGTGCAGCACGCCGCGCACTCCAGCCACGTGACGTCGTTATCCACAATGTATCGACTCACGTGGCCGTAGTAATGGTCGTTGGCTAAACTCATGGGGATGGCCCCGCCGTCGAAGAACGAAGATGCCGCCTCGTGATCCCTGAGTCCCACCAGCCCTTTGGGCGTGAGTGGTTTAGAGAGCCCGCTCTGTCCTCAACCCCCCTTCTTCCCCTTCGGGGAGGGGTTTGCCCCTCCCCCTACCCCCTCCCCCTGGGCCTGGAGAGGGCGGGCCGAGCGTCGTCAGGGGGGTCTTGTTCGACTCCTGGGAGGGCCAAACAACGACGACCCTCGCGAGGATTCTGGCCCCGACGGGGGGGGGGGGCAGAGTTTGGCCCCTCTGCTCTTCTTTGAAGCAAGCATCATTGATTTTACGACTGTTTCGGCCCCATTTTGGCCTTCTGAAGGGGGCCGCGCTCATCTTCCTTCATAGCAAAATCATTGATTGTACGAAGGTTTTGGGCTCATTTTGTCCTTCTCAGGGGGCAGCGCTCATTTGCGCTTCTGAGGAGGTCGCAAGAGGCCCCAAGATGGCCCCAAGAGGCCCCCAGGAGGCTCCCAAGAGGCCTCCAAGAGGCCCCCAAGAGGCCCCCAAGAGGCCCCAAGAGGCCCCCAAGAGGCCCCCAAGAGGCCCCCAAGAGGCCCCAAGAGGCCCCAAGAGGCCCCCAAGAGGCCCCCAAGAGGCCCCCAAGAGGCCCCAAGAGGCTCCAAGAGGCCCCCAAGAGGCCCCACGAGGAGCCCGAACGACTCACACCAGGACGAGGGGCCCGAACGACTCACACCACGAAGAGCCCGAACGACTCACACCACAAGGAGGGGCCCGAACGACTCACACCAGGACGAGGCGCCCGAGCGACTCACACCACGAGGAGCCCGAACGACTCACACCACGACGCGGGCCCCGAACGACTCACACCACGAGGGGCCCGAACGAGTTACACCAGGAGGAGGGGCCCGAACGACTCACACCAGGATGAGGGGCCCGAACAACTCACACCACGAGAAGCCCGAACGACTCACACCAGGACGGAGAGCCCGAACGACTCACACCACGAAGAGCCCGAACGACTCACACCAGGAAGAAGGGCCCGAACGACTCACACCAGGGCGAGAAACCCCAGACGACTCAAATCACGAGGAGCGCTTTCTCTCCCTCCTCCTCCGCCTCGTCCTTCTCCCGCTCCCCCCACAAGGAGGATGTGCAATGAGGCGGGGGGAAGGAGGAACAGGGGAGATATGCGGGGCCAAGCGGACACACGCCTGGAAAACACGACTGTCGGCATGCTTCGCAAGAGTTGCTGCTGCGAGATGGGCTGGCGGGGATGCGCGAAGCGTGAAGAATTTCAAGCTTGAGAGAAGTTGAAGAATGAGGTGGGTCGCGGTTGTTGTGCGATTCGATCGTTTTACGACCCGATAGAGTGGCCGCGCCTTGTCAGGGCGGCGCTCAAGATGTCCATCCCGCCTCGGGTTTAGTATTTGGAGCTTCTCCAACGTGTAGCAATACGGGTTTTGAATCACCTGGAAGCCTCGTCGGCCCCCGTTTCGGCCAACGTGGGGCGCCGCGCAAGGCCTGATATCAAACGCTCGTTTCGGTGGAGCACTGGCGCGCGTTGTTCTCAAGGGAATGGTTTAAGCCCGCCCGCGAATCAACCGTCGGGTTTGGGCCGACGGCTCACCCCAGCATTTTCGCGTCTACAGGCAGGCTGTCGGGATCGGACTTCGGAACTGCACCGTCGACGCGTGAGAGGCGCTGGCGCTACGCGAGCTAATCGTACGCCCAAATTAGTCGTTGCGTGCTCCAACCTGGCAGATGCGAGGTGGGTCAAGGGTGCCAGATCGCACCTCAAGGCCAAACCAATTTTTGGGAGCTGTTCTTTCGCGTGCAAGGGGGCTGTCGCGCGCCGCGCGGCGCAAGCAGGACCTTATGCTTCAATGGGTGAGTGGCAAGGTCGGACGCTTCGTTTGAGCTGCCAGGCGCTGCCGATTGACTTTCGGACTGTAGGTCCAAGGGGCGCAGGCGGCGGGTGTCTATGGGCTCCAGATCCACGGCACCTACGGATAACGCCTGGTCCAAGCGCGACGCCGCCTCGGACATGCATGCGCTGCTGCCACACGTGGGAGGTGCCTCACATCTCGTCTAGGGCTGAGACGCCCAACCAGAACCCTGGTATCAAGCTGCTGGTGCAGCGCTTGGACTTCTGACTTCAGATGTGGAGGGGCCACCCTGCTATTCAGTGGGGGATTTGGAAGGCTTGGTCGACGCTGTCAGGTCAGATACTCAACGCACCTGCTGCACATCGATCTGAGCACGTTCAAGGACCAGTCTCGGCCATCATCCTACACCTTGCCGAAGCAGGCCGCGGAATAGATGAGGCGACGGCGTGGGCCATCCCTGGGCCCCAAGCAGCAGCTGGTGCTGATTGGAGGTTCGACGGCCGCATATAAATACAGGCCTTCGAGCGCTTGATGGACATGGTGGGTTTCTTCATGATTATTCTGAGGCGCTGGCACCCAGGCAATGGGACAAGGTCAAACTCATTAATGTGGAGTTGGTTTGGAGGAGCGCACTGCGAATCGTATCGCATGTATTGTTCAAATGATGGGGAAATGTGCAACTGATGGGGGATTTGTTGTCTTCAATCATGTTGAACTGTGCGATTGGAGGAGCGTGGCCGAGATCTCGGGAAGATCGGATATCCGCAAATATCGTGGATCCGAGCTGTGCAATCGTTGTAATAGGGAACCCGATACCGCCCTCCATCGGACCTGGATCTGCTCAGAAAACATAAGGGATATGGCGTATGAAAGGTCTGCCAAGAGAATCAGTCAAGCTATAGTGTAAGCAGACACTGATCCAGCATTCTGGCTCAGAGGGATGACCTCTGGTGACTGGACATGTGTACCTGAGTCGCCAAGCGTAGAGGAGTGGACTGTTGAAGTAACTGATGATGAGCGTCAGATATTCTTTATATGAGAAAGCTTGCCTGGGAAACCCCTTGCTCTTTTCGGGGACGCCCCGGGGGGAACCAACAACAGATTTCGTAGGGTTGGTCTCGGAATGGTGTTGTTGACGAGGGCTCTTGGGCCGCAGGTTGATATCCAAATTTCTCTCCACGGGCCCTTGGTTGGCCCCCGCCAGTCGGTGCTTCGTGGGGAGCTCCGAGCGCTTGTGTTTGCGCGTTGGGCTACTGAAAGGGCCGTCGTTTGTGTCTGGCGGCGAGGCTGTAGCGAAAAGGCTGGTTTGGCAAGAAATGGCCAACCCCTGAGGGTGAGGACGGTGATCGGTGGGCGTCCCTTGGTCAGATCCTGTGCAGCAGAATGCGGACCCAACTTTGATCAGTGCCTGGTTCCTTCACTCACATCAAGGTGAGGCCGCCATCGCAAGCAAGCCGTCGGAACGATGGCTCGTCACAAGTACCGCTATAGTTGATCTTGTTGCTAGCGTGGCTGCTCGCCACGCCCGCCTGCCTGTTAACACATACCACACGCCATAAAATCAACGAACGTCGTGCCTTCCTGAGGAGCAACGATAGGGGGGGACTGGCATAGGGGGGGATGCATCGACCTGGAATCGGCGATACAGCGCCGATAGATCGGCGATAAGCCTCCGATAGTGAATCCGCACCTTCCTGGGCAGGTTGGGGTTATCGGGCCCCTATCGGCGATCAATGGGCGATTGGGGGTCGATGCACCCCCCCCTATGCCTATCCCCCGTATCGTTGCCCCCGACTTCCCTCCCCTCTCTGCCCCCCCTTGGTTGCACGATGGTGGGAGGTGCTGTCAGGGAGGTGGTGGCTCGTCGTCTCAAGGGAGCGTCGTGGATACCCCCGGTACCCCAACAGCTATAACGGCATGATCTTTTACCAGCCTCCCCAAACCAAATTACATATAACTGGCGGGTGCGTCCACAAAATTCCGACGTCCTTCAATACCACAATAAGCTGCAGCTCTGGTTGTTGTGTCCGGTGTGCTTGTCTTGCGAGGTTCCAGGCCTAATGTCCTAAGCAAGGCCGAGCAACTTGCTCGTGGCCGCCATGTGTCATTCATTCACGGTTGGTTGGCACTCATTGGCAATGTCACATGGTTACACTTCTTCTCATATTCAGATTCCTCCTCTTCCGTCCTCATCCTCGTTATCCCCCCCGCTCCTCCCTCTTTCCCCTTCCCTCCCTCCTCATTCATCCCACTCCTTCTCCCTCCTCCCCCAATTCCCCTTCAATTTTCTCAACCGTCCCGTCGTCGTCGTCCTCCTCCTCTTCCTCTTTCTCCTCCTCCTCCTTATCCTCTTCTCTCTTCTCCCCCTCCTCCTCCTCCCCCCCACCCTTCCCTCAACTTCCTAAAACGTTTCGTCCTCCTTCTCCTCCTGCTCCTCGTCTTCCTCCTCGTCGTCCACATGCTGCCTCCTCCTCCTCCTCCTCCTCCTCCTCCTCGTAGACTCGTAGATGCGGGCATTAGCGCTTCAGCGAAGCGCAGCCCTCCCCTTCTCATCCCTTTCGTCCACTGGCCCCGTCTCCCTCTCTCTTTCCCCGCCTGCCCCCCCCTCTTTCCCCTCCTCCCCCCTTCCTCGTCCCTCCCCCCCCCCCGCCTACTTCTCGGCTCCCGGAGCCGCGATCGCGCGCAGGAGGGAGCGGCCTGCAGCGCGTAGCTGGCGCCGCCCACCGTGGCGAAGACGATGCCCAGGGCCCTGGCGTTCTGCTGCCGGACCTCCTTTGCGGGGGGGTGGGGGGTGGCGCCTGCCAATAGCAGAAGGTTTCTATACACCACCACCGTGCTCTGCTCTTCTCCTCTCCTCTCCTCCTCTCCTCCCTTTCCGCCTTGCTTTCCCTCCTGTCCTCTTCCTCCTCCTCCCTGCCCCCTCTTCTCTCCGACCTTCCTTCCATTCTGTATTTCGCCATCCTGTGTGCGCCGCGAAATCCGCCCGCCGGCGCCCGCATCGGCGTGGCCCGTCCTCGGGCATGTCCGCGACCTTGTCGGGGGAAGACTGGTAACCTGGAACGGGAGGGCTTGTGACGGGGAACCTCCTTGCTCCCCCTCATCCTAGTCCTCCTCGTCCTCCTCGTCCTCCTCGTCCTCGTCCTCGTCCTCCTCCTCCTCCTCCTCCTCCTCCTCCTCCCCCTCCTCCCCCTCCTTATCCCTCGTCGTCGTCGTCCTCCTCCTCCTCCTCCTCCATCCATTGTCCTTATCAATGACTCTTCCCTGTCGCGACCCCAGACGTGTCGGTAGGGCGGGCAGGGCGTTCCGCCTGAAACTTCCTCGCCGTTGATGCCCCTGGAGCTTGAACTTTGCAACAGTTTAACGGATGGAGGGCGGGTCATTTTCAAAATATATGCCTGTCGCGTTAGTGCCGCGCGCATTCGCATCAAAAGTTAGCAAACATTTCACGGATGCGGGGCGGGCGGCTTAAAACATGCTCTCGCCTTAACGCCGCGCGCATTCGCCGGATGACTTTGCAGCAGCTTCAAGGATGGAGGGCGGTTCCTTTTCAAAATGTGGCTCTCGCCCCAACGCCGCTTCTCATATATAGATATATACACATACATATATGTATACATACACAGAAACAAGACACCATATTGTTTTCCTATTATTAAACGCAAAACCGCGGAATCATATTCTAAGGATGGAGGGCCGGTGGTTGTCAAACTGTGGCTCTCGCCTGCGCGTCGCACGCATTTGCCTTACCACATGCAGCAACTCCACGGATGGAGGGTGGGCGGTTTTCAAACTGCGTCCCTCGCCTCGGCGTCACGCACATTCTTCATGACATACTGTAGCGGTTTCGCGGGTGTGAGTTTTTTGCTGTTTCTTCTTTTTTGTATGTGGATCACGCCTTCGAGCCGCGCGCATTCGTTCAACCAACGCGCAGCCAGTTCTAATGATGTGGGGCGGGCTGATGTCAAATGGTGGCTCGCGCCTCAGCGTCGCACCCACTTGTCTCAAAACTGCAGCAAGTTCACGGATGGAGGGATGGCGCGCCACGCGCATTCGTCAGGAAAGCTTGTAACTGCTTCACGGATGGGGGGTGGGCGGTTTTCAAACATGTGGTTCACGCCAAAGCGCCGCGCGCAGTCGTCTTACAAGCTTACAGCAGTTTCACGGGTTCGTGTGCTCGAAGATGATGCGTCTTTGGTTTGCGCTGGTCCTCTTCCTCATCCTCCCCCTCCTCCTCATCCTCCTCCTACTCCTCCCCCCCCATCCTCCTTTCCCCCCTCCTTGTCTTCCTGGCTCCTCCTCCTCCTCCTTCCTCCTCCTCCTCTTCGTTTTCTTCTTCCTCCTCCTCCTCCTCCTCCTCCTCCCTCTCCCCCCTCCTTCCATAGCCATGTTGGTTCAAGGCGGTCAGTTCCTCAGCGGAACAAGTGGAGGCCGCTAGTCCGCGGCAACTTTCAGCTTTCTGTCAGTCTGCCCTGACCAGAGCCAAGCGCTGGTCCGCCCCAGCGCGAAGCATCCCGCGTGCTCCTCCATGATGCCGTGGCAGCAGAGCAATAAGCAGTGGGCCTGGTCTCGCTGCGGGCAGTGCAACAACTGAGCGTATGACTGGAAGATCGCGCAGAGCAAAGGGTGCTGCAGGAAGTGCGACTCCCCAATCGAGCGGTGGAGTCAATCCCAGAGCTACCAGGGGGACAGCAAAACGCCACCTTGGGCGATACGCAAATCCTATGCGGAAGCGGTCTGTGGCTAGCTCGAGGTTGCGATCGCGAAGCTTGGGTCGGCCCCCGCCATGGTGGCGGAGGTGGAGCAGCTCAAATCCAGCTTCGCAATCAAGAGCGCCCCTAAGCAGACGGAAGTCCCGAAGTCGACCGTCCTCCGCAAAGCGATCGCCCAAATCAGCCGCGCCCAGGGCAAGCGCGACGTGGGGCGAGGCGCAGAAGGCTGTGCAGAGGCTCCAGGAGCAGATTGACAAAGCGGCGTCGGAGGTCCATGAGGCTCAGGTGGATCACGCGAAAGCCCTTCAGGACTGCGTGCACGAGCACGGGCAGGAATGCGAGAACGCTGCAGACGAACACATCTTCTCCTACGACTCCTCGCTCTTCGAAGACATCGGCGACCTCGAGCAAGAACAGAAACAACAGCTCGTCAATTTCCCTGACGACGCCAAGGCCATGCAGGAGCTCCTCTGCGTGCCCAGGCCACGGCGATCAGGAGGGACCATGCCAAAAAGACGCGCACAGTGGGCGAAGAGGGACAGCCAACGCCGTTGCCTGCGGCACCCGAAGGCCCTCCTGCAGCCGAGGCTGCCACGCCTCGAGACCCTCTCAACCCCGAGGAGCAGCGGGCGAGGAAGGACAACAGCAGCAAGATCCTAGGAGAAGCCACCGAGAAAACCACGCCTGCGGCACGGGCAAGGCCAATGTATCGGCGGCTTCCAGATCCCGTCAGTTGGGAGCTGGTGCTTGCGGCGCTGGTGGGTCTACTCCTCAGAGTCTTTGACGGTGGTTCCCCACGCTATGGGAAGAAGCACGATGCGACGGTACTCTTCAGTAGCGTTACGCAGTGGGGAGAGACGCCTGAAATGTTAATCGGCGAGAGTGTCGCGCAGGCGGGCGCCATCGCCTTCGCGGAGGCGCGCGTCCCCATCAGCGGCGTTCCGAAGCTCAAGAAGGATCTAAGCAAGGACGATTGGAAGGTTGCGGCCGCGGCGGCCACGCCCGCGGGCAGATCGAAGGAAGGCAACAGCGATGGCGAGCTGGTGATCGCGAAGTCTCACCTCGCCACCGCCGCGTATGATGGCATAAGAGAGACGTTGACCAATAACGGTTTTCGGGGTCCTTTTCGTGGCTGGGCAACCTCATCCTCTTCAGCCTCTACCCCCCCCCAAGGAAGGCATTGGGGGCAGCAACTTCGAGAAGATGAAGGCGCTCTCGGTGGTGGCTCGTCATGGCGGACTGGAAGAGGTTACCCGAGGCCGTCGAGAGCTCAGGGCTGGAGCCCAGGTGGGGCGGCAAGGTGATCCGCCCCAACGTGCAGGCCACCTGTGACGAGGACAAGGGCAGCCTCATCGACTTCGCGATGGCGCGGTCCGACATCGCGCAGAACATCGAGATCGTGGCGGAGGTTCGGGTCCCTTAGAAGACTCATCTGGGCCTCAACCTTCTCGTGCCTGGGAGAGCCCATGCCTGGTGGCGTCGGCGCCTTCATTTGCACAAGCCGCCCCCGCAAGTGCTGCGGCCCGTGAAGAAGCCGAATCCCGCGAGCAAGAAGAGAGAGCAGGAGGAGGCGAGAGCGAGGCGCATGGCGGCCCTCCCAGAGGACCTTCGAGAAAAGTTCGCTGTGTTGGAGACGGCCGCGACGGAGTAGGCCAGCTCCATCTTCGGGTGCCGCGTCGACGGCGGGCAGTGGCAGAAAGCCAGCCAGAGGGCGGGGGCACCGTCGCTCTTGCCAGGCATGCAGGAGGTAGCGGATAATCTTCTACTGCGCTGACCACAACAAGCACTTATGGACTCGTGCGTCACATGTGAGTACGTGGCCTGGGTCACCACGTTAGAGGAAGCCACCATGGAGCAGGACGAGATCGACACCCTCGAGGCTGACTCGCATCACGGCTGGGGGAAGGGCTTCGACACCCGTTGGCAACGCTCGAAAACCACATCTGGCCGCACGCACACACGTGGTCTATCAGCCAGCGGAGCGCCGGTCCATCTTCGGGAAGCTCCTTGCCAGATACGAGTCGCTGCGCATCAACGGCACGGGCACCAAGCAGCAGAAGCAGTGCGAGCGAGACATTTCGGTGTGTTACCAGGGTCTACGCATCATGGATCTAGAGCATATCTTCGGCAAGAAACGCGACTCCCAGGAAGTGGACGAGCGCGTGCTGGAGCTTCAGTATGCAGGTGCGCTGGACTTGATGGAGCTTCGCATCATCAAGAACGAGGTGGAGAACCGCCTGGCCATAGCGGCTGCGAGGGGACGAACCATTCAGAGGCAGCAGTTCACGAAATGGACCAAGTCGACTTGGAAGAAGTCCCCTGGAGTGTTGCATACGTTCGTCAAGGAACCAGTGGCACCAGTGTTTGAACATTATCGAGTTGATAGTGGAGCGTGCTCAGCAGATCCTGAGGCCCTCGTGCACGCGAAGAGTCAGAGATGGAATAGGATCTGGACGGGCGAGGTCGACTCCCGCGAGGACATCAAGGCTGAGCTACGCATACTTCATCGGTGTGCGCGTCAGGAGGACCTGTCGACCATCGCGCTGGAGACGGTCCCAAGCTGCACGGCGTGCGCCGGCTCCCCACAGAGGCGCGCCAGCAGCTGGTCAGCATCATCAACGCCTGCGAGCAGGCGGGCACGTGGCCGAGGCAATGGTCCGCCACTTCTGGGGCGGTGGCCCCCAGGCCCTCTGGTGGCGAGAGGGTCCTCGGCATGCTCCCCTTGCCTGCGAAGCTTTGGAGTCGTGCTCGCAGTTCCCCTCTGCAGTGAATGGAGTGAGGCCCTTCAGCGCGCACTGGGGCACCGCTATGTGTGACAGCGTGGGCCTGGTCCGACTCACGCGCGCGGCGACGAGCGTCGGCTTCCCCGCGGCGGTCGTCGAGATGGAGGTGATGACCCTCCAGGGGCTGAGGTATCTCGAGGGCGGGGCGGCGCAGTGGCGAGGCCGTCTGGGTCGCGCGGTCTATTGTGGCAGGCTCGCCCGGAGGCGTTCAGCTTGCGAAAGTGTTCTTGCATTCCATTTTACATGCAGCGAGCGCATGTGGTCTCGCCGACGGCAAGGTTGCGGGCGTTCGTCGACGACGCGGTGGCCAGGGCGGAGGGCGCGGAAGCGCAGACCCCGGCGGGTATCGAGCAGAGCAGGCTGAGGATATCGGAGAAAACGGTACTCATTGGCTCCGAGAAGGGGATGGTCAAGTCCACGGCGAGGACATTACGTATGCATGGTATCCCAGTGAAGGCGGTGCATCACACCAAGGACCCTGGATTGGACGCCAGTGCTGGCAAGGAGAAACTGGTGAGTATCCTCAGGAAGCGCATCCGCATCCAAAAGGCCAAGAGACACATTCTCGAATCTCAGGCGGCCGCGGTGATCGGCAACACTCAACCGTGAGGCCAAGAACCTTTGGGCCACGGGGGCCCTACCGCAGGCGTGCAGCCGGCAACAGGCGTTCGGCTTGGCCCCCTCGCAGCTGCTTCTTCTTCGTCGTCAGGCTGGGCAGGTCGCAGCAGGTTCTCATGGTGGAAAGTGCCTCGCCGCCTCCCTCGCCATCGAGATGTGGGACAACGAGCCAGTTCTCGAGATTGGGAAGCGGGTCATCATCGAGTGGCTCGCCCTCTGGCAGACGAACCCTGAGGTCCACCAGCGGGTCGTGCTCGCGCGGCAGAAGATCGAGCGCCAGCTCGCGAGGGCGGGCACCCGCACATGTTCGCACATAAATGGGGCCAATCGCGACGGTCTGAGCCGCCCTCATGGACATCGGATGGGGGCCGCTGACCCCGGCCGAGTGGGAGCGCCCTCTTCTCGGTGGTCAACTGCAGGCCTGGCTTATCCCCAGCTCGTCCGACCATGGCTACACCCAGGGCAGGGGGCGACTCGCCATCATCGGGGACCTTGTCAGTGACATGCGCAGTCAGTGATGACGGCAGGCAGCAACACGCCCTGACGGCGAAGGAATCCAGGATGGTGCTGAAGTGTGGCGTACACGGCAAGAGCAGGGGCTGTTTCACGACGAAGGAGCGGCTGACCTGGCAGCTCTGAACAAGCTGGTGGCCGCGGGCGGGCAGTGGGCCCGCAAGGGGCGCCGGCAGGCGGGCTGCCAAGTGGGCTCCCTCACCTGCCTGCGCTGCAGGAAGGCCGACGAGACGCTCTTCCACCATGTCTGGGAGTGCGAGGAGAACAGGGGCCGCGAGGACTTCGAGAATTCAGAAGGCCTGGTCAGCCAAGCGCGCGCGCAATGCGAGGCGATGCCAGTCTCCTTGTTGAGGGGCATCCCGCCAGTTCACGTGACGACCCCGTCCTTTGATAAGGCGATGATCGGCACCAAACGTATCGAATTTCATAGCACTGGCTTCGCCTGTTGCACCGTCAACCACAAGATTTTCATTTTTTGGGACTGCTCGGGGGACGAGCACTCTTGTGGCCCGCGAAGGAGACGCTGTGGAGCGGCCGTCGTTAGTCTTAGGGAAGTCGAGGGGAGGCGCTGGACCGTCGCGGGGGCGCTTGGGCCCCCCATCCTTGGAGACAGGCAGACTGTTCCCCGAGCCGATGTCCTCGCTGTCTTGCTTTCGAGCCCCTGGGCCCCGAACTCGAGCTTACCTTTGTCACGGACCACTGGGCGATAGCCAAGCGTTGGCGTCAGAAAACCACCGGGCCCGACCCCTTAGGGGTCAACGAGGACCTGTGATCCAGGGCCCGCGTCGCGTTTCAAAGTGGTGGCTTGCACTCTGTCCAAGTCCAGTGGTTCCCCTCCCACCAAGAGGAGGCCCCTGATTAGTTATTTACTCGAGAGAAGCTCCTTTTCGCCTCTGGCAACGCCTGTGCTGGTGTCTGGGCGGGGGAGGCGGCGGACTTAACTTGGGGGGCGCGGTGGGGGGGACCCCTGACATTGACAGAGTTGATGCCGCTGCCTCGTACATCTGCCGCAGGGCCAGAAGAGCGCTCGCAGCGGCGGCTGAAGCTGAGGATGTTGCCAGGTCTAAGAAGAGAGAGGGTGAGGTTCAAGCCCCCAAGATCTCTAGACTGGCAGCAACTGTTTCGGTTGCAGACCACGTGCTCGAAACATGTGGGCAACCCTTTTTCTGGTGCACGGTGTGCAAGAGACTCATTTCCGATACAAGGCTTGGGAGTTTGCCGCCATGCCCTGTCATGGCCCCCGCGCGAAGCCTCAGACTGGGGGAAGTGCGACTGGTGGGGAGAGGATCGCGCCTGCCGCCCCAGTGAACGGTCTCTGCCAACGCTTTCACCCTTCCCACCGAGTTTTACATGTGGAACTATGACTCTTGTACATCTGCAGCGAATGCGGTTTGTATGCCACCGTGGACCCCAGAAATGTAGTTTCTGACTGTTCGGGCAGATCCCCCCAGGGTTCGGAGAACCTCTGGAGGATCCGTAGAGGCTTGCTTCCTCGGCGCGAGGGCCCCTCCGGCAGCTTTTCGTGAGGCCACTCGCGCACGAGAGCAGGCTCAGTGTCGCGCTGTCTTCGAGCTGCAGCGCCCGACGTAAACCCCAAGAGCCGATCCTGGCCAGGAAGCTGGGCCTTCGGGGTCCCAGGGAGAGCAGGGGATGGTTTCGCGGCTCTCCAGGCCTGGCCAAGACCAGGATGGCCCCCCTGCCTTCGGTGGAGCGGGCCCGTCCCAGGACCGCGTGGGTTCCCCCCGCTTGGACCGCGTCCTCAGTCAAAAAGTCCACAGAGTCCTCCTCCCCCTCCACCTCCTCACCCTCCATCCTTCCGCGGGTCGCGCGCTCCAAACACGCGGGGGGAGGAGCAGGGAGGAGGAGGGGGAGGAGGAATTAGGATGAATATGAAATGGAGAAGGACGGCAGAACATATGAATGATAACGAGGAAGGAGGACGAGCCAGGATAACGAGGAGTCCTGGGACGGAGGAGCCGGGATATGGATGAGGAGGAGGAAGAGCACGACGACAAGCGAGTAGGCTCTCGGAAAGTTTCCGACGGTCGCCGCTCAGACCTCAGCGCGTTCGCCTTCTCCCTTCTGCTGCCTCCTGCCTCCTGCCTTTTGCCTCCGACCTTCTCCTCATCTTCCTTCTTCTCCTCCCTTTTTTCTCCTCCTCCGCCTTCCTCAACCTGCCTCCTGCGTCCTCCTGCTTCATCTTCTAATTGTTTCCTCCTCCTTCTCTTGTTCCTGCTCATCCTCTTGCTCCTCCTCCTCCTCCTCCTCCTCCCTTCCTTCTCTCTCCTCCTCCTCTTCCTGCTCCTCCTCTTCCTCCTCCTCCTCTTCCTCTTCCTCCTCCTCATCCTCCTCCTCCTCCTCTTCCTCCTCCTTCACCTCATGCCTTCTCGCTCTGCCTCCTCCAGCTCCGTCCTCCTCCCCCTCCCCCCCTCGCTCCCTCCTCCATCCCTGTCTTCCTGCCTCCTCCCGGGCGCGCTGTGGTCGGGGGCTGACAGACTTCCCCGCCGCCCCTCAAGCAGGGCGGCTCCCCCGGGGGTGGCCACGTGTCTGAAACAGCGGCCACCCCCGGGGGGGGATCTGCCGGCCGGGGCCCCTCGACTGCGCGTGCCCATGAACATGGCGACGCGCACGACGATGATGGCGTCGACCGCGAGCGCCGCCCAGCGCCCCGGGCCCCACACAGGGCCGCCGCCCAAGTTCTTCTCCTCCGCCTCCTCCAGGGCCGCCGCCGCCAGGTGCAGCCCCGCGGCGCCCCGCGGCTGCTAGGCAAGCCCGCTGAACCGCACAACTGCACCCCCGGTCGGCCCGCGCAGCTTCTGCTTGTTCGGGGGCCTCCAGAAGCTCGCCGGGCTGAGAAGCCAGGCTCGTGCCTCGCCGCCCCTGTCTCCACGGCGAGCGCGGTCGAGCGCTCGCCGGGATAGCGCTCGTGCTTCGCGCGCGCAGCCCGTTGCGCCGCCTCGCCGGAGCGCCTTGCTGCCGCGCCCGCGGCCGTCTCATCTCCCGCGACGGGGTGGCGGGCGGTGACGTCGATCCACCGTGGGCCGTCTACGTCGCTGTTGCATTGGAAGTCTAAGATAGCGGGTGCGCGCGAGGACCGACGCCCGCCCAGGCCGCGGCGCGCGCGGCCTGTCCCAGGTGGGCACCCTCTGCTCGTAGAGCGGCGTGCAGTGGAGCCACCTCTCGCCGAGGCCGCCCGCAGCGCGTGCCACGCCTGCGTTCCGCTCGACGACGCCTCCGCCTGGCTGGCAGATGGCAGCGTGGTGCGTTGCTGGGTCCAGCGGTGCTTGGCGTGGCGTCTCGCTGGCCGCCAGGTTCTGGCACGTCGCCGCAGCTTTCGCGAGCTCGTTGACGGATCACTTTGGCTGCGGCAGCTGGAAGTGGCTGAGGGTCGCTGTCTTCGGGCGCAGGTCTTCCAGGGTGCAGTCCTGCTCGTCGGGGTGCTGCAGGTAGGCGCCAGACCATGGCCCCCCGGCTGGAAGCAGGGTCGCCTGGGTGCAGCTGTGCGCTCGCCGCTTTGCAGCAGCGCGGATTGTCTTACGCGCCATCGCAGACAACGTGAACTGCCTGGGCGGGGATCCGATCGCCGCCTCGGGCGTCCGGGCTCAGGGTCCGCGCCCTGGCGCGCTAGCTCGGCCATGGTCGCTTCAAGCTCTGCTGCGGCCCGCGGTAGCGCCGCCAGCATGTCAGCGATAATCGGAAGGCCAGAGACTCCGAGGTCGCGCTGCGCCTCGGCAGCCGCCTGCGCCCACGCCGCCCAGCAGGCCGCGGCGCGCCTCGTGGCTGTCCATTGCGCGCCAGCCCCGCCCAGCTTGGCTGGTAGGCCCAGCAGCTCGCACGCCTCTGGGCCGAGCGGCCGCCGCAGCAACTTCTCCCAGCAACCCCGCAACGTCGCGTCGTAGCGGCAGGTCTCGTCCCCCGTGGCCAACACCATCTGCAAATTGTGCTGGCTCGCGTTGCCGGCGTGAGAGTTGAGCAAAGCTGCCGTCGCCTGCCGCTTGAGGCCCCAGTGCAGCAGCCGTTCCACGCAGGCCCACGGTTTCTGCAGGCGCGCTGCTGCCCCGTCCAACCCGCCCCCAGCGAGAGGAAGCGCCGCGGCGTCGGCGTCTTCAGGCTCCCAGAGCTGCGCGCCGAGGGCAGGCAACACGGGCACATACATGCCGGCGATCTCGGCCTGGAGTGCTCCTCCTCCCTCCTCCTCCCTTCTCCTAGTCAGCGTGCTTCTCCCCCCTCCTCCGTTTCTTCACCTCCATGCCGCCCCGACCCAGCTAGAGAGCAGGACGGCCAGGGCCGCGGCCTGGCCTAGCCCATTGTACATCATGAGGCACAGGGGCGTTATGGCCTGGGAAAGTCGATGATGCCCAGAACGTGTTGGCACCAATGTGTATTTGTCCATCGGGACCCTCTAATACGACGCAGGCGCTGTAGTGATATATCGGTGGAGCTGACCAGCGCCAGCACACGTTGGGCTAACACACGTCCTGAGCATCATCGCGGGGAGCAGGAGGCGGGGGGTGGGGGCAAACAGGGGTGGGGGGAGGTAGGGGGCGGGGCAACGAAGAGGGGGGGGAGAAGGGCTAGGAGGAGGAGGAAGAGGAGGAGGATGAGGACGAGGAGGAGGTATATAACAGAGAAAGAGAGAGATATAAAGAGAAAGAGAGAGAGGGATCCAGAGAGAGAGAGAGAGAGAAAAAGAGAGAGAGAGAGAGAGAGCGAGAGGGAGGAGGAGAGAGGGAGAGAGAGTGAGAGGGAACAAGAGCGATACATATATATATATATATATATATATATATGTATATATATACATATATATAGAGAGAGAGAGAGAGAGAGAGAGAGAGAGAGAGAGAGACAGAGAGACTGCAATGTTTGCGTGGGAGTGGGATAGATGCGAATTCTCAAATTGGAGAGGAGCGGAGGAGGGCCAGGAGGGGGGACAAGTTTCCAACTTGAATGCCTCAAGCTGCCTCGCTCGCTCCCGCCTGCCCTCCCACCACACAAGGAGCGCCCGAGGCTCAGATGGGCAGCGGCCATGTGCCCGACCCTCGCGAGGTGCACCGCTCGTGTCAGGTGCCCTTTGCCCCCGGGTGCCCAAGTGCGCCAGGTGCGCTACGCGCACGAGGAAACATGCAGCGGGCAATCTGTCGACACCTCGCCATCCCTGCCAAGATCGGTGCGAAGTGACAGCGAGATGGACAGCATGGTGTTTGGTGTGCACCTGCCATGACCGTGCGCGCTTTTTACAAGGATGCTGGGCAAACGCGCAACGGACACATTAGCCCACCTTCCCCACCATTCCTGACACAAACCGGTGCAACGTTATGGCGGCGTGCCGGCAACTGGCCCAAAGCTTGCCGCCATATGCACTTCTGCATTCCCCCTCAAACCCTGCACTGAACAACTTCCGCTTTTGGGCTCGCATTTCTGGCTTTTGGGCTGCCGGGCGCCCAGGGGCGCCTCGTGCTGGCTGGCATGTCGGGGTTTTCGGGTGGTGGGACCGCGTGGGCGCCTCGTGGGTGGCCTGTGCTCTGCCTGGCATTCCCAGGTTCTGTCGCGGTGGACGCCCGTGGGTGCCGCGTGGTCGGCCCGTGCGCTGTGGCATTTTCGGGTTCTCGCCCGGTGGGCGCCCGTGGGCATCTGTGCTGGGTGGTGTTTCCGGATTTTCTTTCGGTGGGCGATCGTGGGCGCCTCGTGCACACATTGAGCCACACACACGCGTATATATGTATATATATATATATATATAGATGTCTATGTATATATATATATATATATATATAATTACCCCAGTGCGACCCTACCTAGAAGTTGGAACCCCTAGGGAAGCAGCATTAGTTGCTATGCTATGCTATGCTATGCTATGCTATGCCATGCTGCGCTATGCTATGCTAGGCTATGCTATGCTGCGCTATGCTATGCTATGCTATGCTATGCTATGCTGCGCTGTGTTATGCTGTGCTGTGCTGTGCTGCGATATGCTACGCTATGCTATGCTGCGCTATGCTATGCTATGCTGGGCTATGCTATGATATGCTATGCTGCGCTATGCTATGCTACGCTGCGCTATGCTATGCTGTGCTCTGCTATGCTAAAACTCAGCGAAGCTAAGATGAAGGTGAGCTAAGCTAAGATAAACCTGAGCTAAGATGAAGCTAAGCTAAGCTAAGATGAAAAAAGCTAAACTAAGATGAGATAAGCAACGCTAAGCTAAAGGGACGTAGCTGGGGGAACCGCGGGGCGGATACTGGGGGAACCGCCCGGGCTGGTTCCTACTGCCCGGCCCTTTAAGCCAAGAGAGTAAGAACCCTTCTAGGCAGAACCTAGGGGGGAAAATAGACAGCACAGCATGGAGGGCACCACATCAAGTCTGCAGCACGCATGTTGTGTCCCATAGAATGCTCCGCATCTATTGCACCATGCGCGGATTGCACCACACGTATTGCAGATCGAGAGTGCAATCACCCAGTGCTCTGGGTCCACGCTGGCAAGCAAGTCTGACAAAACGGGCGCTCCCACGAGAATTCCGATTGGATTTTTCAATTCCCGAAAAGCCTGGTGGATTCGCAAGGCTCCCGTGTGACCTTCATGATGTGATTGCCGCAAGAGGCGTATTCTGATGTGCATGTGGTGCTCGTGTCGCATTCGCATCGCATCTCCTTCAATTCCCAAAGACATTGTGCGATTCGCGTAAGATCCGGACGTTCTCATAGGTTTCCGTAGGGCTGCCACAAGGCTCCTCTGAGATCTCGATCGGACTCGTCAGATTTCCAGATGAGTCCAACCAGGTGCTCGTAGGATTTGAACTGGGGTCCTACAGAATTGGTGTCGAAATGATTGACCTCTGAGCAAGCTTCTCGATCTTCTCGTGGGGCCTTCCATCTTCCCGCTTGGTTCCCATCGGAGACCTGCATGATCCTCTCAAGACTGCTGCTGCGACACCGTACCTGCACTCTGGTGTCTGGAAAGATACCCGCTGGATACGAATGACTTTCATTGGAGCTCATCATATTTCCTTGCGGCCCTGGGGACTCCCAGCACATTCCCCGCGCGATTTCAACCACGTTTCAACAGGGCATCCGCGTCCATCAGAGGGATTGTGCTGGTCTTCCATAATCATCCTTATCTTCATCCTCATCCTCACCCTCATCCTCCTCCTGCTTGTCCTGCTCATCATCATCAACTGCGCATGTGCCTCCCGAACAGTCGGGCCTATGCTCCAGAGTCCCGTGACTTGTGCAATTCCGGTGCATTCCAATCAGTGTTTGCCGGCGTCGGTCATACACAATGTAGGTGCCTGCCCTCTCGATGTGCAAGCTATGCGGTGCAAAGTACGTACTGCAACTTATGTGGTATAGTATTTGTGGTGCTGTGTGTGTGTGTGTGTGTGCGCGTGCGGTGTGTGTGTGTGTGTGTGTGGCGTAACCTACGTGATGTGGTGTGGGGTATGTGGTGTAAGCGGTGCAATGCAAGCTATGTGGTGGAATGTGCGGTAGAATCTATGTGATGTAAGCTAGTTGGCGCAAGTTATGTGGTGCAGCCAGCGCACGGGGCGGCCACGAGGAGGCCACGATGCGCCCACGTGCGGGCACGAGGCGAACCCCAGCAGGCCGCCAGCGTACGGGGCGGCCACGACGCGGCCACTCACCGCATAACAGGCGAACCACCCACAATCCCATCCGACGGCTTAGGTTCGCCAAATAAGAATCCCTAACTGCATGCACTCTTCAAGGAAACGTGCACAAACATTGCAATCTGCTGGCGCATGTTGTTCCGACGAACTCGCCATGGCCTCCACGATGCTAAGCTATCCGCGAAACTACAAGCAATCTGCTCGCAAGTCTCGTGACCTTACCAGCCGGTGGACATGCAGACACGGAGAAGGAGGAGGAGGATGAGGAAAAGGAGGAGGAGGCGGAGGAGGGTAGGCTCAGAAGCGTTGGGATTTAAGTCGACCTGTTTCCAGTGCCAACACTTCTGAACTAAGGTGTGGTCTGCCATTGGTTACCATCATTAACCGCCAGTGTCGGTCGTCGGCAGGGGGAGGGAGAGGAGGGGGTGGAGGAGGGAGGAGGGACGATGGATGCCGTAGGCTGTCTGCCCTGTATGTCTTTCTCCGGGGCCCACCCGCAAGCACAAGCAGCATGCTGCTCGCGCTTATGATTTCACACATTTTCTCAACGTCTTGTCGTCCCGGCTCGTCGCTCAGATCGAGAGATGCCGATCGGTCTACTGCTCCGGATTGCTCCCACCGCTGCAGCTGCTGCAGCTTCTCCCCTTCTCCCCCTCCTTCTCCTTGTGCCCCCTCGCGGCCAGCGCAGTGAACAGGTGCTCGATGGACAGCTTGCATGCCTGCATGGAGCTAACTCGCCCCTGGCGCACAGAAGGGCGAATCCTCCCTCCCTGCTCCCTGCTCCCTCCTTCCTCATCGCCCCTCTCCCTCACTCATCGCTCCTCTTCCCTTCTGTCCCATCTTCCTCGCTCTGGCTTTGGGCATATCCCAGAACTGAAAAGGAACCGAATCAGCAGATGAGCCAGAGAGGGGGGTGAGGGCCAGGAACGGGGACCAAGGTCGGACATTGGAAGGGAGCAGTGGCTTCACGACACCAGACCCAGCACGGGCGGGCCAACACTGTGGCACTACCATGCTCAGTCGGGAGCATGCTTCTTGGCAAGCGGCGCCCAGACGAAGAAAACCGCCGATTCCACTGCAGCAGTGATGCAACAGACCACGCGTAGTCGAGCTACGCATGGCTGCGCCAGTCTGCAAGGATTCTTGCGGCGCGCGCTCAACGCGAATGGCGAGGCAGCGAGAGAGAAGGATCGGACCACTCCCCCCGATGCGGCCAAGACTCTGACATATTGCGCAATTCGGCTTCGGAGGCGGCTCGCTGTTCCTTAGATCCTTCCATGGCTGTTCCTCTAGCGCTCCTCGTGCACCTGGGCGCTCTTGTTCTTGGGGCCACCGAGGCGCTTCGCTCCTTGTGGCACCAGCTTGGCTGGACCGCCCAGTGCACGAGACGTCCGCCCGCGTCGCGTGAGCGAGACCCGCCTGCCGCTGGCGCTCCGCTTTGAATGTTCTGACTGAGCACCACGCCCAAACATGCGACGTCCTTATTTTTTCAATACGCGGTCCCCAGAAGTTTCCCCAAGACCCGTTCTTCATCCTGAATCTTTTTTTTGACGGTCCTGGAGTCCGGTGAAGGTCCCGAGAGGCCCGAGAGGCCGAAAAGGATGAAACACCTCTCGTCCGGATTATTTCACGACGCGAGCACGTCTTGGCACAGGGCCCGTCCACCCATCTGGGGCGTCTGGGTTGGCTGGATGCTGCGTGGGACCCGCTGCCGACGCCGCGCCGCAGGACCTTGGGCGCCGCCGGCGGGACCGGGAGGCTGACCGGGCAGCCTCAGCAACGGCTGGAGGAACAACCGCGGGCATAAACAGACCTCTGGTAGCTCCACGCGTATGTCTTCGATCGGCGCTGGGCCTCCCGGCGCGCTCCGTGCGCCAAGGAGGGGGTCCACCGCCGATCCAAAGAATCTGCGAAGAGCTCTCAACATTTATATTGACTCTTTTTCCTTATTCGAATGATGCAAGGGTTTCGGAAGAAGGAACGCCTATCCTTAAAAGGTGCCGAACTGGAACAACATCCTGGGCCCCAATTTCAACGTTCGGGGTCCTTGGATCCGGGCGAGCGCAAGTCATTTCGATAAACCAATGCATTTTTTTTGTGGGCCATGGCCTGCGTAACAACGAGATCGGTGTGAGGGAGTGCCGTCGTTCAAGCTCTTGAAATTAAAGGGTGTTCTTTTGCGAAAGCGCGGTATCAGAAAACGTCGGAGTCGATGCCGTTTTTCTGCAGCTGCGGCTCAAATTCAATTCAATCAAGCCGCACTGCTCATGGCCTCCAAGGATGTCGCCGGCTGCGAGACGTTGAACCTCACAAAACGTGACTATAGCGAGGCCGAACATCACGGGGCTGATGATCATGGACATTGAGGCTATGTTGGTGCCCAACACCACGAGGGTGCACATTCGAATGCAGAGCGTCACGATTATCACGAGGCTTGACTTCAAGAACTTGGATCGCGGCTTCGACCAATATCGTGTGCTTTATGTGGCCCACCGTATCAATGATGAAGATTCCGTGCTCCCGACCTGAATGAAGTACTGTTTGCGGCGGTTGGTCCAGACCTGCCCCAACGACGTGGTCCTGCAGCTCGAGTTCCATGGCCCACATGAACATTCCAAGCAAACGTACTCCAGGACGACAGCCCTGGCCGACGCGGATGTCTGCAAGGCGCCCGACTTCGCAAACCAGGGTGGTCCAATGGACGCGCACGTGTTCATCGCCCAGGGCCGCGTCAACAAGAAACCACATCCCACTACGGGCACTGCTGCACGACACATTTTCCATATATTTATGTATGTCCGTATATCTGTATGTATATGAATATGTATAAACAGAATGAAACTTCGTATATCTCTATGCCTATGTACAGATTCATGTGTATACGACGCCTCTCAGCGCCACGCCGAAGTGCATTGCAAGACTGATGGGTAAGGATATGCAGCACGCCTGGCCTGGATCGCAACTACTGGGTCAAGAACGATACGCGCAGCATCCCACTTGCCGCTCGCCTGCTCGCCACCACACTAGCGTTTAAACTGGGCCAACATCTTGCGCAGACAAAGTGAATCAATCTGCCACCCAGTTCGGCCACCAACCTCAGTAGACATGCGCGTACAGTCCCGAGGCAACCTGGAGTCCACGCTTGCGGGCACGTGAAACCGGACGAATCCTGCACACATGCGCTCAACCCAAACACAACAATGAGGTTGGGAGCGGAGCTGGCTGGCGCGGTGCTCATTGAGCACCGCGCCAACCAGCTCCGCACCCGCGCGACGAAGTAGACGTTGACGGGTCTTATCAAACTTGCTCTTTCCGCGCGTTCTGTTCTACTCCACAAGGAAGCGGAAGTTCTGGCGCTGCGACCGCGATGCCGACCACGCACCCACCTGGAGGCTAGAACCACGCGCCCTTCGCGCGCGCTTAGGTTCTAGCCCTGGTGTTCGCATCCCAGGTTGCCGTTCAGAATAGCTGAGGCGTTCGCGGTGTCTTTTCAAGGGGCGCTTACGGTTGATCCCGCCACGGGCACACCACGCACACCATGCATCTGGAGCAGCCCTGGCACACCAGGGTAAGACCAGCAAGCGCACCACGATCATCACGCTCGCTCCGCACACTGCGCACGCTGGTCAATTATGCTACCTTCGCCTCTCACCTGTGTATTGCCTCTCTTGTGGTCCATTGCCTCCCTCGTTTCCACGTCTTTGACCTCCCCTGTACGCCTTCCCCTCCTTCTCCGTGTCCACCTCCTTTCACTGTTCTCCCTGCCTACTTCCCTCTCCCCTCGCCCTCTCCCACTCCCCTCGCCCTCTCTGCACTCGCCCTCCCCTCGCCCTCTCCCTCTCCCTTCGCCCTCCCCTCCCCTCCCTCGTCTCCATCCCTCCCGGATCGGTGCGATGGCTAGCGTGGATGCTTGGAATGGTCAGATCCGTATGTCCCTGTCACGCTCTGCACCTCGGAGGCCCCGAAAGGCAGAACCCTGGGCCCCTGCCTCACAGTGAGAAGCCGAGGCCCCGTGCCACACTTTCTGGACCTCGGAGGCCTGGAGCCGTGCGGGTTCTGCGTACCTGCTGCGATTTCTGCAACTTGTACAGCAGGGGATGGTGAGACTCCTACGCCCCTGCCCCACTCCGGACCCTGGGAAGCGTGGAGCTGCGACTCCTGTTGGTCCGTGTCGCAGCTTTCCGCATGGGCAGCAGGCATTGGCCCGTGCCGTAGCTTTCGGCATGGACAACAAAGATCAGGCGCTGGGAAAAAACGTGCCCGCGTAACTCACATAGATGTTGTTTGGCCACGACGCCAACACCACCAGTGCACTCCTTGGTGCCGGCCGCCTGCAGTGTGGGACCTGCAAGAGGGGAGCTCAAGCTCGGAGGGAGCGCGGAGGAGACGGATTGCGGTCACATTTGAAACCCGTGCCCTCCCTCAGCGCACCGAGGACAAGAGAGTTGCAGCGGACGGTGAGCATCAAGCTCAGAGGGCGTGCGCAGCGCAGCAGAGGACGTGCGGCCCGCACACCTGCCACCTCTCTAGCGCCGGCGCCGCACTGGCACCAGGAGCCATCTCCGGATGTGGGAGCGGACGCCCCCCCCCCCCAAGGGGCGGCCCTGTGGGGGCAATCTTTCGACCACCGCCAGGGCCCTGTGCCGAAACGCTGTCAGGGCGAGCGAGTGAGGCGAGGGAGAGGGTTCACGGGCCCTCAACGGCAAGCCCAAGACAGGCCAAAAAAGCAAGCTTGTGGGAGTGGCACGGGTCTCACAGCTGACCGCGCGGTCGACGCGCGCGCGACCGCGCCGCGCGCTATCGCACACACGCCCGCGCGCCCGCGCTCGGGGTGGTGGTGGTGGTGGGGGGGCGGCATGGAGACGCGAAGATGAGTGAGCCACTCGTCTGGAGCGGAGCACGCGCTATTCAGCCAGAGCGGCGCGCGTGCCATGCGGCAGGCGGCGCGCCTGGCACCGAGCGGCCGCCCCGCGGCAGAACCCGACGCACAGCGGCGCTGGATCCGCAGTCGCCGCAGCGACTTGCAGCGCAGTGGCGCGCGTGTCTCGTGCAGAGGGCCGCCGCGAGCTACCGCGGCGGCGGGCAGTCCGCTCAAGTATGATACAAGAGCTTACGTTCCACTGCAGCGCATCTGAGTCCACTTCACCACACGGTGTGGGTTTTGTTACCACGCTTGAGCCGAGCATCGTTGACACTGCAGCGCATCATTGTGCATGTATTGCGCGAGCCGCTGCAGGCGTGCATGCATGCGTTCTCCTCGTCGCGCGCTTTTTCGGGAGCGAGCAGTCGAGTCCAACACTACAGCGGGCGCATGCGATACACGCGTGAGGTACCTTCAAAGAGTCAGAGCAGGCCAGTGCCCTAATGCTTTACCCTCGAACAAAGCAAGGCCATCGCAATTCGGATGTACGTTCCGTTCGATTCACATTGCGAGAAAATGGAATCCACTCCAATCCCTCCTCCCTCCGTCCTGCTCCTTTCTCCAACCTCCCTACTCCCTCCTCCATTCCTCTTCCCTACAACGAACTCCTCGTCGTCTCACCACCAGACGTGTCGATAAGGCCGGCTGGGCGTTTCGCTGGGACTTCCTCATCATTGCTTGCACTGAAGCGTCCCTTTCCGCGGGGCGGGATGCTAAGAAACGGTCGGGTCGTTGACGCTTAGGGACTGGGACGCGAGTGGCGTGTCGCGCCGAAGTGGACCAGAACCTGCGGCGCGACACGCTATGCCAATGTTCCCGACCGTATTGCAGCATCGTTGATGCATCCTGGGTTGACTCTGGTCCTTTCCTCCTTCTCCTTGTCCTCCTCCTCCTCCTCCTTCTCCTCCTCCACCTCCTCTCGCGTGAGGAGTACCTGGCGGGTTCAGTCATCCAATGAGGTGTTGGAGGAATCGATGTGGACGTGCGAGGTACCTCCGCCACTTGTTCTTCCTAGCAATCCTGTAGTGTTGGGTCCTCGTTTTGAAGAATCAGCGCCCGCGTCACTCCTTCCTTCCATCCTTCCTTCCTCCTCCTGCCCCGTCCTCCTCCCATCCCTGCATCTGCCCTCAGCATGTTCTCATCGTTCGTGGCCCCTTGGGGCGCTCCACCGAAGGCCCTATTGGCTGCACCCAAATGGCGTGCCCGCCCCCAATTCGGCGCACCCCGCGCACGTTTCGTGGCCCCATCGGGAGCTCCCCTGAAGGCCATACCGCCTGCGTTACCCGCTCCAGACTCGGCACACCCTCACACGTTTCGTGACCCCATCGAGAGTTCCACCGAAGGCCCAAGTGGCTGCGTCCACATGGCGTGCCCCCCCCCGTTTCAGCACACCCCTCACATGTTTCGTGGCCCCAATAGGGAGCTCCACCGAGGGCCCCAGCGGCTGCGTTCACATAGCGTATCCGTTCCTGGCTGCGTTCGCATGGCGTACCCGCCTCGGTTCGGCACACCCCTCACACTCTTCGTGGCCCCATCGGGAGCTCCACCGAAGGCTGCAGTGGTTGCGCTCACATGGCGCGCCCGCCCCCGAATCTGCACACCTCTCACACTTTTCGTGGCCCCGTAGGGAGTTTAGCCGAAGCCACAGTGGCTGCGCCCACATGGCGTATTCGCCCCCGATTCGGCACACTCCTCACGTGCTCCGCGGCGCCATGGGGAGCTCCACCGAAGGCCCCACTGGCAGTATCCGCACGCGTCCCCGCCTCTCATGTCGGCACGCCCCTCGCGCGTCTCGTGACCCCGCAGCGAGCTCCGGCGTCATCGCCTTCTGCTCGCGTGCCCCCCCTGGTCTCGCTCCGCTCGCTGCCCACGTCTTGCTTGCCGCCTGCCAGATGCTTCCTGACTGCTTCTGTTCCCCAGTGCTGGGTCTCGCCAAGCTGGTGATCGAGTTTGCTCGTCGACCCTCCCGCTCCGCCTGCCGCCCCCCGCCCGCACTGCCTTGCGCCTCGTCCTTCCTGCGGCACGCTGCCCACGAGAGCAGAGGCTATGCCCTAAGTCACTCGCAGTCTGCTCGCCCGCCTCCTTCGTCTCGCCTCCCGCGCGGGACTCACAACTGCGTACGGCTGGGTCCTTCACCAGGCCAAGTCATAAGCCGCAGCACACTCCACCAGCAGCCAGCATCCATGCGCTACTCTCGGACATGACGTGGCCAACGTCCGCCGCCACGCCACTGTCCACGAGCCTCGCAATCTCTCCGGGGGGGACCACTTGGCAACGGCCGCGCATATACTTGATTTCTGCCCATAGCTTCTCTGTGCCCAGATTCGCCCACAGCGGCTGCAACTCGTATCCTTAGGGTGGCTTTGGAGACCCTTCAAGCAAGCTCTCTCATGGATCGCCTGCCCAAGTGACCGTTGTGATGTGGTTGTGTGGGCGAGGGAGCGGGAACACCACCACGTTGTTTGGGCGAGGGGGGATGAATGGAACAAACACCACAATCAAAAGAACACGCCCGCTCTCGCACAGCACCCGCAAGCGTAACACATACTGAGCGTTCTAGGCCGTCTTACGCTCTTGTTCAACCCTACTCCTTCTTCTTCTCCCTCCTCCCTCCTCCTCCCTGGTCACGCCTTCCTCCCTCTTTCCTCCTTCTTCCTTCCTCCTCCCTCCCTCCCTCCCTCCTTCTCCTCCTCGTCACTCCACAATCTGTCAATCCTCTCGGCTGGCGCGCGCCGCGTCCTCGGGCGCAATCATGGTCAAGACAGGGCGGTTCACCGCCCCGCCCCAGCCGCTGACGAGAAAGTCAAGGGCGCTCTTGGCAAGGCAGAACCTGAGCGCAAAGGCGCTGGATGGGGGCGGCGGAGGAGGAGGAGCAGGGCGTTGATGAAGCGTCCCCATGCCCATCTCGGCACACCCCGTACGCGGATCGTGGCCCACAGAAAACACCAC